AGATACGGACGGTTTTATCACCGCTGCAGGAAGCGAAAACAAGTGGAATTCCTCCAACTCCGGTGGCGGGATTCCATGCCAGACTCCATACCCTGTCAGTGTGACCTTCAAGCTTTGCAGTCTCCTTGAGCTCGAATCCGCCATCCCATAGCTCCATCACAAGAATGACCAAATCTCCGGAAAGCGGGAAGATTAAGCCCTTGGTCCGCAAGCTTGGAAGACTCTGCAGCTCTGCTGTAATGCGCGGCAAAGGGATCAGCACGCGCCGCCGCGGATTCTGTACTCAACGAGTCGCCCGCGTAAAGAGATTTATGCATTAATGAAGTAATGCAATCTAATCTTGCATATTGAATCAAAGTATTTCGATTTATTTTTTTTATATTTATGCTTTGACTTTTTTAATTTAGTTTAATTTTATGATGGACCAATAAGTAGTGCATTTATTCATTAAGGGAATAGTTGGAATGCTCGCTATTTCAATTAAACCGGAGCGGTTCATCCAGATCGTTAAGGGTTATTGCAGCAGAGTCGAATCGGTTCGAAGCGGTCAAGAGTTGCAACAAATCAAGCTATTCCATTCCCGTCTTCTTCTCTCAACCAAAGGCGCGGGAAGTTTCTGCTAACCCTAACGCATCGATCAGAAGACAACGAACTCGCGAGAACATCGACAATGAATTCAGCAGGTCGAAGAAGCGGAGGAGGCCTTTTCGAAGGCCTGTACAGAGTGATTATGCGCCGTAATTCTGTTTACGTCACCTTCATCATCGCCGGTGCTTTTCTCGGAGAGCGGGTAATGTTGTGGACCTCATTTTTCATACTCATTTATGTCTGTTTCTTTTTTCTCTATCCTTTTCATACTCATTTATGTCTGTTTCTTTTTTCTCTATTCTTTTTGGTGGATTGTGGTCTTGTTAATTTCGTTTTCCGCACTTAATCTGAGGATCTAGTTTTTGCAAATCACTGGATATTGATATTAAACTTCGTGGCCGTGTTACCGCTGATTCATGGAGAATGTTCAACGAAATAAGTTTATTCGTATCTGCCCGCTCACGAGGTGAAACTGGATCAATTTATGGTTTATCTGCTGGAGGAGAAACGATAAAGAGCAAAGGATTCGTATATTGGTTTTTTTTGTTCCAATATCCTCTTTGGATTCACATATTGGTTCTGGCATCAATTAAAAAATTCGCCGAACAGGATCGTATTGAATTTCATTGATGATTGTGTGCAGATTCTGAATTATGTAAATACGGAATTTGGGCATTATTTGATCGGTTTATTATAGTCAGAGGGCTTCCTTTTTTGCTTTAAATTTTAAACTATTATGATAATGGAAGTGGTAACCAGGAAAAAGGAACGTAAGGATGCTTCTCTGTTTGTTTTATGGACTGTTATGTAATGGGCCTTGGTATGTTAAATTGTGGCAGGGGACTTATGAGCTGCACGGCATTTGTGTTGTTTCTGTAAGTTTATGGTATCTTTTTCTTACCTTAATGCTAGTATTTCCAATGGCGCAGGCTGTGGATTATGGAGTTCACAAGCTCTGGGAGTACAACAATGTTGGGGTATGGAACTTAACCCCATAAATTGATTTACTTTGTTTTTCTGCGTACACATTTCAAATTTATTGATGACCTCTTTCTCCACATAGACGATCATTTTGGCTATTCTTGTGGGCTCCATTAATCTAGAATATATACTTGATGTTTTATTCCGGATCTTTATTTCAAGATCATTTTTTGTGTTCATAAAATCAGGAAAGTCTAGTTTCCAGAAAGTTAAGGCTGTATTAGAAGTTTCCTGGGATAATTATAAACTAAGTAGTTTGTGTATTAAACCGTGTCACGGTTCAGAAGCAAATTGGTTTTAACTACTCAGACTTATGGTTTGGATGCTCCCTTTTTCTTGTATGTTAAGTGAGCTGTCAATAATAATTAACAACGGGTACCAAAAACATAACTCGGGTACCAAAAACATAACTCAACTAATTAAGATATTATATCCTTGATCGAAAGTCCAAAGTTTGAAGACTAACTCAATCTTACATGTTGAACTCTTAAAAGTCCTTCATAACGATGGGTAAAATGGGTCAAAAGAACAAATCAAGGGTGATTTACATGCTAGACAAATTATATGAATGTAATTTGAAACATTGCTTTTTTTAAAAAAAAAATTATTTTCATTTTCCTCCAATTAAATGTCGATCTATATCATTCATCCTTATTCTACTACAATCCTTCTTTAGAGGAGATGCTTACCTGCATAAAAGTGCTACTAAACAACTCTTGTTCCGAATTAGTAGCTTTCTTAACACATTTTCAACTCTGTTTTGATATATGATGGTCTAATAATTATGCAGAAGCGGTATGAAGACATTTCAGTTTTGGGGCAAAGACCGTCGGAAGAATGAACTTGTCAGCCGCCAATTGAAAGCTTACACAATCATGGACTCGAGGTAAAAAAACTGGTGGCTTAGGATGGTAAATGAGAATGTATTTCCAATGGAAAAAACGTTTTTTTCTTTTCAGTCTGGAAAGTTTGTGTTTCTTCATGAGATTCTAATCATATTTTATTTGATTAAGTTTGGAGTTCCTAAGTTTTGTATATTACCTTTGATTTTGATCATCGAGAATACATGAAAAGCAAATTGTTTAGAGTACTAATTAGAAGGTTATTAGGATATGAGCAGTGGCATAATGGTGTTACCATTAGGTTGTAATTCTGTAAATAGATGGAGTTAGAGAACTTAGACGGTTTAAAGAAATTTGGCAAACTAGTCCGTCCATAGGGAGGGGGGATTGGGGGAGGAAGATAGCTCTCTCGAAAAGTTATTTGTCTTTGTCATTTCTCTTTGTCATTTCTCTTTGATATTGTCACGTAGTTTCGGTGCTGAAACGGAAGAGGGAGGGTCTCGGAGTTTTGCAAGGGAAGTAGAGGGGTTGTTTTGTTAGAGAGAAGAAAGAACGGTTCGACACTTATGAGTTCGATTTGGTTTGGTTTGATTTTCAAGTATAGAAATGAGAATCGAACCATTGAGTTGGTTTTCTACCAAGAAATAAACGAACCCATCAAATGTGGTTTAAAACTATAACGTATCAAACATAGGCTTATAAAATCGAGCTAAGCAGAGAATTTCGCTTTGGTTTGTTTTCATCATGTTTTTACCATACTGCATAAGGTCATACCAGGGAGCTTCTAGTGCTGTGAATTGGGTTTACATACTCACAAGGTTTCAATTTAGCTGGAAAGGAAATGTATTAGTTTACTCTGATTAGAGCCAGACCCATGAAGAACAAAGTAAATATAGTATATAAACTATTTGGATAAGCTTTAATAAATATTGATTTTTTAACATTACGATTATTCTACGGCTTAAAGTTGATGTACGTGATTTTATGAATAGAGGATATTTTAGTACTTTCACCTCGCTTCTCAAAATGAAAATGTTGATATATATAAATATTATTTTGTTTTTTCAAATTTAGGCCGTGAAAATATTTTGGCTCTTTTTTTTTTTTTTTTTTTTTTTTTTTTTTTTTTTTTTTTTTTTTTTTTTTTTTTTTTTTTTTTTTGTCGATTATTCAACTTGCTCCTCCCTTATCTCGTGCGCGCTTATACAAAGGCCTCTTGCCTCTCTCACGCGCGTTCACTGTCTCTTAAAATCGCTTCGTCATTTCTGTCCATTGCTCCCAACATTCTTCAGATTAACAAGAAAACCTCATCTCCAGAGATCCGCAACGCAATATTAGCCTTCATCTGCAGATCTTCAGATCATTCATCTCTGTTTAGGATTTTACAAGGTTTGGTTTCGATTTCCGCAGCTGCATTCGTTTTTCGGGAATGTTTTGAATTCTCTTGCTTATAATCTCTATTGTATCGTTGATCTATCAACAAAGCCCTATCCGTAGTAACTTCCTAATAGTTATCTCCTCTCAGTCTCTCAGCCGCAATGCAGAGCCCTAACGCATCAAGTGAAGAACGTCGATTAGAAGTTCGAAAATTAGAGATTTCGGACAAGAACAAGGGATTCATTGAGCTATTGCAGCAACTGACCGTTTGCGATTCTGTGACCGACAAGGACTTCGAAGATAGGTTTCAGGAATTAATCGCCCTTGGAGACGATCATGTCATTTGTGTCATAGAGGACGATCGATCAGGGAAGATCATCGCCACTGGAAGCGTTTTCATCGAGAAGAAATTCATAAGAAACTGTGGGAAAGCAGGGCACATCGAAGACGTGGTGGTGGATTCGAATGCTCGAGGGATGCAATTAGGGAAGAAAATCGTAGAGTTCCTTACGAATCATGCTCGTGCAATGGGATGCTATAAGGTAATTCTTGATTGCAGCGTTGAGAATCGAGGATTCTACGAGAAGTGTGGGTTCGAGCATAAGGCGATTCAGATGGCGAAATACTTCAGTTGAAGAAGCCAATAACGTGTTGCGACTTTGCGATTGTAAGTGGATTTTTCTCTGGATTATTTTCGTGCGCAATTACCTTTCATATTTCTCTTTGCTTTGATGAATTTCTTCGAACACAAATTATTTGCGTCTCCCACTTTCTTCTAAAGTGAATTTCTCGGTATTGAATATTCTGTTGATGTCAAAATCTGTTTAGCTTCGGTTCATAGTAATAGAAATTATAGGACGATAATAATTATCAAGAAAAATAATAATAATAATAATTATTATTATTATTTAGTTCCTGTTAAAAAAAAGGTTTAGATTCTTACTTTCCCCCGTCCCAATGATCAATAAAAAAATAGAATTTTATAGGAAAAGGACATCATGAACTATTTGTACTGACAATTAGGTTTAGAATGACATTATAAAAATTTTAAGCTAAAATCGACTTAATTAGAGTTCAAATTAAAATTGAAACTGTAAGTAAAAGTAGACTTATTGAACCATGTTTGGGTAGAAACAATCATTTATTTGTCTGAAAATGCATGGTTGAGCTAGTTATACACAGACATTTAGGAACAACTTACAGAGATTAAGGTATTGAATGTTTTGACAAGATGGCTGATCCTTTGTAGTGGCGCGCCCATCAAGACATTAGAATTAAACGCAAGCCAAATAGGACTGCAAATTGTTGTGTTCTGTGCTATATTCTCAATTTGATTCTTTTAATTTTACAGTGTTGGAATGATAAGACCTAGACCGCCCCCCTTGAATTTTTTCATAGTAAATAACAGTTATGCAGTCTAATCCTAAAACAAAGAAGCTCTGTTATGAAGCAGAATCACAATCTTCGGTACTCTCCCAAACAGAGAAACCATTTCACCAATTAACATTGAAAGCCACCCTCATACCCTGCGGGCTAATCAACAGCTTAGTGAAATCTTGGCGGTTTTGAATCTGTGGGACATCGTCTATACCTTGGAATCACGGGACTGCAAACACGAAATAAACTAATGAGAACAATTCAGATAAGATACTTGTTGATTAATAGAGGTCACAACTTGTGTATAGTTCAATTAGTTAAGGCTCAGTTCATCCGGTCAGAAGTTTAAATTCTCCTAGAGCACAAGGAAAGAAAATGAGGGGCGCATTGCAAGTCTTCGATTATTTGCCAGCCTTAACCTTATTCAGTACTTTCTACACTCACATCATCTATTTTTAAATACAAAAGATACAAAACCAGTCTCTTCCTAGAGTATGTTTACTTATACTAGATAGGTGGTTTCATTCCTATTGACGCTTAATTCCAGTATTGGATATCACAGACATTCATAAAACTTAAACAACAGAACTCTAGGAGTTGAACCCATTTATATTCTTTTCTTTCATTTTTCCATCTGATTGTATGTTAGTTATCTGCCTATTCAACAAATTCAACAAAGACCTAACTAAGTAAGTTTTCGAGTTATGAAGCCAAGGAAGCTTCTCTCTTTCATTTTCCCCTCTTGTGTACAAATAAATCACCAAACCTACATGCATACCCGTCATTGGTAAAATTAAAGATGGAGAAAATTTTGTAGTCTAATAGCATTGCATTTTGAAATACTCTCTACAGGAATATGAATTACACCCTTGGCCTGGTCAATATGGTAAGTGCGCATATACAGCAAATATAGCTTCTTAGTGAATGGCATATGGCAATCAGTGATTAAATAGTGAGAAACAATACCTTTCCAATCGATACCACCAGTTCTTTAATCTGATTTTTCTATCTCCCGGAACTTCTTTTCCCATTCTTGGAGCTCATAATTTTGCTCGATTAGATCTCGATCACTACTATACACAATTCGATCCTGTCCAATTACAGTTCTTTGAGCCATGTCTCGAGCACTGAGGAGCTGGTAAGATTGTATTCAAAGAATTAGATACTTCGGTGAAATAAATAGAGAGCTTTGCATTTGTTTTTCTAAAAGAAAACAGAATGCTTAAACGACTGAGAAGTAGGACTTCAGCAGAGACTCCAACAAGAGTAAACAGAGCTAGCATCTGAAAAGAGGATATTAACTTTACAGCCCAAATTTAGTTAATCAACAGGCAATTTTCCCACCTGATGAGCAGTTCCACCCAAAAAATGCATTACATGGCATGCAAGAAACGGTGAAATAGGACATCATTAGAGTACTAAAACGATGCTAAAACAGAACACTGGTGGGGAAAAAGAAAAACAAAGTAGGGTTACTTTCTTCTCAAAACTGGAACCAATCCACCTCTAAAAATGGATGGATCTACAGAGGAGCAAACTTCTTTTGGTGTTCTAAAATCTAAATATTAATTACCTTGCGTCTGAGTGACACGTCTGGCAGTTCAAGGGCTCGGGCACGCTTTTGCCTTGCTTGGTTTCTTTTTCCTATTTCAGCATTTCTCTTCTGGATAATGAACCACCGGATCAATGGAATCGTGAAGAACGAACCAGCATATACCTGCACATTTTTTTTAATTATAAAGAATACAGTGTCATAAATTGAATCAAATTATAGGATAATTATATGATAGAAGTAACCAAATGACTCCAAACCTGCAGTAGAGGAAATATATCTGATACAAAGTTGATAAGTCCACTGGGTTTAACGGCAACATCCCTTCAAAAAATGGAATTGGGTGGAAATTATTAGATTTCCTCAGAAACCACAACAAAACAATCCAAGCTTAATATCCATACTTCAACATGGCTCCGAGGAATATAACACCAAACAGATTAAGCCCTCCCAATCCAATGGCCATTGCTCTCTCTGAATTACTTGTTTTACTGCAGACAAAAGAATTCCAGATCATTAATTAACTTTAAACCATACTCCCGAATAAGGCAAAGAAACTTAACCATGGTTACCTAAAGACCCATTTCTTCTCTTCGAAAAACTTTTCAATCCCTCCAACCCACTCAGCCCATTTTTTACCCACATACTCCTTCCTTCCACTCCGCTGAGAAGAAGCTGTGCGCTGTAGGGAGGGAAATCGATATAGAATATTTCCCTATAAATAAAGAACTTTCGGTCAATAGTTTTTCTTTGAGTGGAAGTTATAATCACATATCAATAAACCGAATATCTAAACTTGCATCATGAAGTACCATTTCATTCTCCATTTCAATGAAACTGTAATAGGGGCAGAAATACTGTATACAAATGGAGATTGTACTCCAAAACCTTGTGTAGTTTCATTACATAGCTTTTTATTAACATAACAATTCAAGCCTCAATGTAGCAACTGACTTGTGTTCATATATTCTTGACATCAAATACGCATAAATCGAGCTAATTGTATCCATTCAAGCATTTCATACCTCGTTAAACATACCTCTTCATCGATTTCAGGTTGGCCATCAAAACGTAAAAGAACTGGTAAAATGTAGGATTCATCATCCTGCAATCATCAAGAGGATGAAACAAGTCGAACAGAAAAATAAGATTTGAATTACACTTAAATAGTTGATTCCACCTCTTGTTAAATAGCCGTCAAGCAACAATGATTGGCAACTTACCGTGTTCCCCTCTGTTACATCCAGATATGGTCCAAGTTCTTCAGCAGCTACAACACCACCATTGGAGGTGATGTATTGACCAATCTGCAAGTATAGCTCAAAATATTAGCTGTTAAAATAGTTACTGCTCACAGAAAACAATGAAACCCCCCCCCCCCCCCCCCCACCCCAAAAAAAAAAACAATAAACAGGTTAGATTTTATAAACAAAATAGTTCACGAAATGAAAAAGGGAAATGAAATATAATATTGAAAGTAACGGACCACTGAACACAGTCCTCAAATATTACCAACTTCCATCTCTCTTCTTCAATTCCTTGATTTGGATCGCCGTCGCCGAAAACAAATGAGAAAATCTGAATGAAGGCCATTACAAAGTTAGCATTTAAATTTGAGCTAAAGTAGCACAGGATCGTAATAGAAACTAGATATCATTCAATCACATACAGATTCAATAAAGTTCATCTTATTGTCTTCTGTTTGTAGCCTGCGTCTCCTGTAGTAGTATGGATCCCAGTACCTTACACGATCCAAACAGGAAGGAATGATGGCCAAAGTCCTCTACAAATAAAGTCGGCAATTGCATGATAAAGAAGATATTTATTACCAGAAAAGATCAGTTGGACTGAAATAGAATGTGAATCCTGAATCATATGATCTGCCGCGTCTTCCACGATTATCCTCTTCACTGCATCGTTAACTTGAATCAGTAGTTTGAAGTTACCTTCAACCTGTACTCTATATTGTTCATGATCAATATTACAACCTTCTGCTTGAAATAAGAGCAATAATTGTAGTATATACAAGAACAATTGATGCAATTAGTGCCGTGCCAAATGAAACCCTGACAAGATATTCAGCAGCCGCCTGAAAATTGAGTTAAGATCGCCATTACAACACACAAATTGTTCCCGGAGATTAGAACTTTGAAGAGAAACCCAACGCTTCCTAGTTAATACCTTTGATTTCTCTATAAGAGGTTCAAACTTGATCCAAAACGATTTGGCCGCAAGCTTTGAACGATAATCTTTGGGAAAAACGTAGAGAACGTCGCCCTCATCAGAAACCTGTTAAGAACATCTTGAAAAAATTTGTTGTCACAAAATTAAGAAGTTCAAAATGCTCTGTAACTTACGTCTACAATCTATACAGATAGAAGAAATCCAGTGGATCCTAGTCTTCGTCCTCAGTAGAAGAAGAACTTCAAAATGCAATAAGTACCTCCAAAAAGCCATTGGTATCAGCAGCTAGAGCCTGCAAAGCCTTCTGCGCTTCATTGAGCTTAAGTCCCGCCCTGCTTGCAACATCTCCAATGGTTACTCTTCCTCCACAAGTGTCCACAGCCTCCATCGCTCTCTTTCTCACATCCGTCGGCAATTTATCAGTCTCCACTGCCCTTCCAGGTCTGATATCTGATGGAATATCAATACCCGCTCTCACAACCGGAACCGAACCCCTTGCCCTAGATTCCGGTAGCGAAATCCGCGTCTGAATGGCCGGAAAAGTAACGGGAGATGGCTTTACGCCAATTACGGGTTTAAGAGTGATGATGAGAGGATGAAAATAGAAGCGAGAACTCGGTGAAATGGCGAAAGAGGTAGAGATTGAGGCCATGATTCGCATAAACTTGACGAATTTGAATGAAGCTTCAAGTTTCGGCCATGGAGATCGAAGTATGTGCAGGGGGTGACTGTATCTCTTGGGTGAGTGGCTCTGATTTGGAGTCGCAGATTTTTATTTTTATTTTTTATTTTTTATTTTTTCATTATTTTGTTCTCCATTACCCGGGAAAAAATAATAATAAACAAACCTATCAATTAGTTTTTTTTCCGTTTAAATTGTAAAAAAATAATCCGAAATCTTTCTTTTCTTTCGAAAACTTTTTTTTTTCTTTACAAAATTAGTATATTAATTTTGATATTTCAGAGACATTTTAAAATTTAAGAATATTGATTATTTGAAATCTCATAGGTCAAATTTACGATCTTTTGGGCCCAGCCGACGAATAGCCCAACTCGAAATATCGGTATTTGGGCTGAAGTTTCACAGCAGGCCCAATTATTTAAAATTTTCAGCCCATGAAAGTTGTTTCCCGGGTAAATACTCCCCGCCATCGAGGCTTCTCAGATTCTACCCTCTGCAACAGAAATTTGAAACCGCTGAAGGAAAAGGCTCCACTGCAACCCTTTCGTCCTCTCCAAAACCTCGTTTGGATCTCGATGTCCTCATCCTTTGAAAATTCGTCGAAGATCTTCTTTAAGCTCCATTGTTACTGATTCTACGGCCAGTGATCCGCTGTAGCTACTTCACGGTTGCGATGGACCATTTACGCTCAGGAAACTCGAGTTTCTCTTGTTTTTGCACTCGCTTCCCGAGCATATGTTCTCTCTCAGCGCTGTTATGTCTCATTATTTGATTTGGTGATTGATAGTACTCGAAGTTTTAGTACTTTTTTAATCCGCACTTTTTCGGCTGGTTTGCAGTTTTGTCGGAGTCGGCTTACGAAACATCGAAATACTTGTTGCCTAAAAGGTTCGTGAGTCGAAATTTAGACGAGGCTTGGAAGGTATGTCTATCTGGAGATCTATGTTGTTGGTTGTGAATTTTACCCTTGCGAGCTTCGTCCTGCGATTTAGCTCGAATGTAATTCAGCTCGTATTTCTATATCTTAATTGTTGTGAGTTTAATAATTCATTTTGAGTTAATCTAGTTCCTGATCTCGAAGATTCAAGGTCTTAAATCGAAGAGATGAATATGAGATAAGGAAGGTTGAGGTATAATTTCTTCCCTCCTCAATTTACTCTTGTGCGGCCTTATTGCTTCAAACCTAAACATAATATTGACTTATTCTAACTATTAGCTCACAGACCTGGAAACAGTGATCGGTTGGACAGCCTTAATTTACAGCGGAAACAACCATACCTGGAAACAGTGGATTTGATTTCAGCAGTGCACATCAATCCTTCAATGTCTATACCGAGTACCTTTTTGGTAAGGTTGATTTGAAGCTCCGAGACGAAATCTGTCAATCTTGATCTCTGTTTTCCATCCTAATTTAAATCCGGTCCTAATACTAGAACAAGGCAAGAGAGAAAATGGAAATGACAAGACCTGTTTTGACGAGTCAATACAAATCGGATGGGGAAATGATGGATATGATAACACCTGCAGTAACGAAAAATATGTAAGTTCTTCGCATCCTGACACCAGGTATTTTGATCATCTAAGTTATGTAATATTAAACTGTCCTTGATTTTTCATAATGCACATATAATCTTGCTTTTTAGTAGTCGCAGATCCCTTATGTATGCGGTTTGCAGTATAATCCACCCTTTACTCTTCCATTTTAACATCGTAATGAGATTTCAATGGAAGTAGAGAAGAAAGAAGTATAGCAGTATCACTACCATCATATGATCTTGAAACTCACCTCTGGCGTATAGCCATATTTTACTCATATTATGAACTGTATATGAGTGTATATATGTCACTTTCACGTATAAATGCAGCTCCATCGTGTAATTGATGGTGCACCGATGGAACTCAATACTTATGGATTTGATCATGCTAATGTCCTCAAATATTTACCTCTACCTCCTGAATATAATAATTGGGAATTTCCATGTACCTTGGGTTTGGATAAATGCCTGATACACTGAACTTCAAGTTTTTTCTGCGGTATTATGTCCATTATAATAAACTAAAAAAATGTTGAATTATCTAAAGTTGAAATGCCTCGTAGGAACCTGATAACTAACTTTAGAGTATTGCGTACTTTTCTTTCCATTTCTCCTATGTAGGGAAGAGCTGAATTCATTTTGTTTATTATTATGACTTGTAGTACAAATTGACAGGGGAGTTCTATTCCCTTCTCAATTGAACGGCGGAAACACTTCAATCATGGAGATATTAAAATTGAAAAAAAGTTGAATTGGAGGTAAATTGTTCAAGTGCCTAGAAACTATGAGCCATGGTTCTACTGCTACTCTATCGAATGAAAAATGTTATTGTACACTCATAATTGTAATACGAATTGGCTTGGAGCCGGAATTTTGTCTGCTGCAATCATAATAATGGATTCGTTTTGATATAATTTTGACCTTGTTCGTTAGATCTGCAGGTTTCAGCCTGCAAAGGGTCTTCTACACCGCAGCACAACTAGGTCAGATAGAAATACAAGTAGAACTGCAACTCCGTATTCGGATTTTGTTATCATAAACCTGTCTGCCCTACATTTTCTCCAGCATAGCATGCTTATTATGTTGGCTATTCTCTTCCTTGCTTTTTTATTAGAGGTGAAAGCCAAAGAGATCTTACACTTTAAATCATTATGAATAAACTTTTTGAAGAATTATAAATTCAGGTTTCTAGCTGGATTACTTCAGAATGCAATGAAGTAGAGTCTTCATTCCTTTGCAGTTAGTATTAATGAGAATTTTAGCTCCATCTATGTCATTTTCAATCGGCTTAAGACGATCAGATATCATGTTGTTGATTTATGGAAAATATTTCAATCCTCAGCATCTTGTGCAGTTTTTTTTTTTTTTTTTGTTCCAATTACCTGTTCGATCCTCACCACACTATTTCCCACCTCGGGACTAAAAAATCTAACCTGATTCTGATTGCACTAGGCAGCTAAGAAGGAACAAAACGGTATACATGACCAAATAGCGGCTCCACATCCGGCTGGAGATGTTGCATGATTAGAAGCTTATAAGACAGTTCATAACCAAGAAGATCTGACACAACCTGGTGAGCACTCGTATGGATGCTCTATTTTTTTCGTTTTTTTATTGACTGTTGACTTTTTCCCGCTTAGTCAAACAGTTGCTCGTTGTTCTATCCGTGAATGCTTAGTTTGAAATTTTAATACAAAAAGTTAGAATTCTGAGGGTAAGAAGATTAGGATTTGAAGATGGATAAAATTTAGATGTCCTGGTAACTGTCGTTCATTACATGGAGGATCTCTGTTTGTATGTGAAACATTGACTAGCTCATGATGAATATATGAGTCAAGACCCCATGGTGAACTGTTGTTAGAACTGATGGAATTGTTGAAACTACAACAATGGAACAGAACGAATTTGCTAAAGCTATGGAGTCTCATTTGATAAGCCTGTTCAAAGAAAATCTAATGTCCACTCCTTCCTTTCAGAGCACTGAAAGAGAGCAGTCCAAAGGCGTTCATATTATTACGTTTAATAATAAAAAGAATCTATGTAAAAAGTTCGAATAGAATGATGTTAAAGTCATTTGAATTACGTATGAAATGTTAATATTCTTTTCTCGTAGGATTGCGGATAAGAAGGCAGCCCAACATTTTGTCCGTATGTAATCCCCAACTCTCAATCTTTATTTGCAAGTGTACTTATCAAGTAAAAAAATATACTTCAGTATTTCATATTCATTAATTTTCTTGTCATCTTCATAACTTAGTGGCCTGTAGGATTGACGGTGTAGAAGAGTTTCAGTAATTTAACAGGTTATAAAATTTTATTGGCCTGTAGGAATGGTCCAACTTCCGTGCCAAAGTTGTTCAGGTGGGAGGAAAGCAGCAATTTCCATTTATGGTTTGAAATCGCATTTTTTTCCATTTCATTCGTTCAATGCCTGATATCTTTGTATTTGGAGCAAATCAAATATTTATTTATATGCTCAAGGAAATGTCAAGAATGAAGAAGACTGAAATTTTTTTGGGTTTTTCAGTTTTTTTTTTTAAACCCTAATTTTCAATGCATCACTCATTTTGAATTTTTAGCTCATCACCAAAAATTTCATTAGAAAGATTGACCATTTCCAGTTTTCCCCTTCCCTACAATGTATAGATCGTTATTAGATGTTGTAAACTTTTGCTAGTACATGGCTTGATTCAAACCGCATAGATTCACCAACAACTCTTGATCAAGTGTACGTTCCATGTTTGGTATTTGGTTGCAGGTCGATACAAAACTGGAGTTTCAATGTATGATTCTATGAATCAGATGACATAATCTAGTATCTGGTTCAAAACTATGGTGTGGACTCATCACGTTAGGGCAGGGTTAGATATTTTCAAATTCTTACTTGTTCGGTTTTTGGAACCTAGTAATTTTGTATATAACCTCTCTTTGGAAAGTTAATGCAGGGAAGCGAGGAACTTAGCTTGCTCATTTGTTGATTGTGGTAATTTCATGGTTCCTACCTATAAGCCATCGAAGCTACCACCTGCCCCACTAGAAATATGGGCATATGAGGTCACTTACTCAGACTTATTTCAAAATTTAATGTTACAAGTTCATTATTTTCCACGATGTGTAGTGATGGATATCGTAAGCTTCTCTTCCCTTGAACAGTATTTTGAATTTCTATGCCTTTCTTCTCTCTCAGGATTCTCCTTCTTGCAAACTTGTTCGTGGAGTACTTGTAGAGTTGGAGTTACCACATTTAGTGCATTGGTAAAGTCTCTATACGTTCATTTTTCTAGTCAGATCAAGTACTAATTACCAAGTGTTAATATGTTAAGAGTATTAATAAGAAACTATCGGGAATGCATTAAAAATTACAATATTAGTAATGGCATAATTATAATGACTTGATAGTTTGTTAGAGCGGGGTTGAAAGGTTATAATTAGTATAATTTCTCATCAGTAACGCAATATCATTTCGTTGTTTTCATATCGGGATCGCACTAATAACGCCTCCAAAATTGTAATTTTTGCAGTGCAAGTTATGATTAGAAGAAGCATCGGCCTAAATTTTTGGTACATGCTCACTTATATGCCCAGTAATCTATAAGTTTCTGCATGCACGTACATGGACTTGGTGTTATACTTATCATTTTTGTGAAGCATTACAATTTCTTGCTGTTTCTTTCCAATCTCATTTTACTATTGGGGTAAAATTACAATCTAAGCAAACCCAATTTTCCAAAGCCCACTCCTTCTCATATTTTCTTTTTTACATTGGTTATTTGGGATTTATGCACAGTAGCTTAACTCGCATTTACAGAATAAAAAAGTTAAAAGGCATACGCTTATATTAGTAGTCTTGATTCTACCAGCTCACTTTTTATAACTTTCTTAAGAAAAAAATTGCTTTTCTATCCTATTATTAATGGCAGAAAAATAATTAAAGAACTTCAAAACTACCTTAAGTTCAGTTTGATGCTAAAATGATGAATGTCTGGGAAAAGTTAATTAAGCACATTATTTTGTGATGTTTAGTTCTCTTTTACTTAATTCAGTTGCGCTCGTGGGAGCCCAAAACGACATGAGTTATATGAGAAAGCCGGACATTTTCAGGTATATCTAACAACTTGCACCTACAGTGATGGCTTCTTCTTCTTAATCATTTTATTCAATAAGCAAGGTTAACGATGTTTTTAACCAAATGGCTGATAGGTTCCATACTTAGATGACCCCAACACTGGAGTATGTACGTTGAAAGTGCTGAAATTGTGGAGTATCTTCAAGCAACTTATGCTCTTTAGTAAGCCATCATCGCGAGTCATTTCCAAGGTTTATCTATTATTCTCCTGTTCTTTTTTCACACGGTGAACACATAATTTAGTTCTTCATGCCAATTCTTCAGAGTTCCCAATGTGATATTAGATTTTCATTATATTGCCCATTTAGATTCTAAATCAAAAAATATATATCTAATAAAACTCTTAAATTTTCAATTTTGTATTGAATAGGTCTTGAATTTAAAAATGTTCAATAGATTTTTTAACTTTTAATTTCATGTCTAATTGTTCCATGAATTTTAAAAATAGTCTAATAGATTAAAGATCTATTAGACACAAAATTGAAAATTTTAGACTCTAGACCCCATAACAAAATGGGAAATCACTTTTAAAAGCTCTCTCTCCAACAGAATCTATGTACTAGAAGTTTCAAAGCAAGGCATATTAATATGATCCATTGAATGTATAGGTTGAAGTCTATTTCACAAAGTATATTCACCTGTTTACAAGTATATTGAACAGTTTCAAAGAAAGAAACTGTTGCTAGGTGTCTCATTTTCTCACCAATTTTTGTGGCTGTACAGAAGGGGCCTACATAACTCTAATGGAATCCCTCTACCCCACATCACATGAAGAAACTTCCTGCCTGTTCTTTGAGGCCGTGAGATCAGCCATATGATTACCGAATTTTCGAGTCAATGCGTAAGTGAATATTTCTCAATATGATTTTTTTTTTACTTCGAGACTGCTTAATACGATCTATTTTCAATGTCTGATCATTTACAAATGTCTACTGTTACTATTGGTGTACGCCACAGGTATAGTTTTTTGTCTTCAGTCTTCAGTCTTCACCCTTTAATCTTCTCTCTCCAAATTTAACTCATTCATTCATGTTAGGGTAAAAACCAGAGTTGAATATTGACAAATTCATTTTAGATGCATGCCCATGGCAGAAAACCCATCAATACTTCATCTGCAAGGGTTGTTTATATCAAAGAAGCATTCCACCCTCCTGACTAATGGTACATTTTGTTATTAGGTAATTAAGTTATTTATTAAATTTGTTTAGCTATCCAAACTTTTAAGTTCCTGTCCAGTAGATTTTTAAACTATAAAAAATATCTAATAAATCTTTAAACTTCTAATTTTATATTTAACAAGTTCTTAAAATTCAGTGGCATATCTCCATCTGTGGAGGACTGTTATTAGGGACAAGCAACCGAATATGAGATAGCAAGATAGTGGTTGGAGAGGACCAATTTCATTTTCAAATGAAAAAGCAGGGTATCTCATCCCTCGTCTCTGATGGAAAATAAAGCAAGCAGGTAATGGCTATTGAATTTGATTTTAACCCACCACTCACTCACTCTCTCTCTCTCTCTCTCTCTCTCTCTGATGATGCACTATGCACTTTGGATGGCTTTAGTTTTTAGCCATATTTTGATTTGCTCGTGGCTGTTGTGGGTGAGAATGGTCATGAAAGGGAAATCGTTTGATCAAGTCTAAAGGGTTTGTGGCCATTAGGCTCTAACCAACAAAAAGTTTTCCTCTTTTTTTTCCCCTTCTTTTTCCCCTTTATTTCTAGGATGCTTTCAATCTTTGGGAAGTTAGGTGTTTCTTCTTCCTTTTTTATAGTGATTTTTAGTTTCAGAAGAATATCCTTAACCATTTATCGTATTCCAACTTACGATTTTCCTTTTTCTTTCAACTTTTTTGTTATTGAGAGTTTATTTCTTATTAAAAAAAAACACAAATATGCTTAGTAATCATTTTTGTTTTTAGTTCTTTGAAATTTAATTTAAAACTTGAATATTTTTATATAAAAATTAGTTTTCTAAAATTGTATGATATGTTCATTTTAGTGATCATTTTTTGCCTTTTTGTTCTTTGAAATTTAATTTGAAATTTGAAAAATTTTATATAAAAATTAGTTTTCAAAATTAAATTTATAAAATTGTAAACTATATTATTTAGATATTTATCATACATTTTGTAAGTCAAGAGAGATAAAATGATACTTTTACATATGTTCTGGAAAATAACAAAAAAAAAAAAAAAAAAAAAAAAAAAAAAAAAAAAAAAAAAAAAAAAAAAAAAAAAAAAAAAAAAAAAAAAAAAAAAAAAAAAAAAAAAAAAAAAAAAAAAAAAAACAAGAACTTAGTTTTATAGTTTTGCAAGATGAGATAGAAGAAACATTATTAACAAAAAACCAAGTTTTTTGCATTTTGCTCCTTACTTTCCAAATTTTCATAAAAAAATATACAAAATTATTTTTAGTATATAAAGAAAATTTAGATAAGCAATAAGAAATCAAACACACTTCTATTTAATAAAAAAGAATAAAAACAAGAATTGGTTATAAGAATGTAATGTTTTCTCCATTAAAGAAGAGGAAACAATTCTCTCTAACATATCTCCTTCCAACTTATGTTCTTTCTTTATTGTCATTTTCTCTCTAACTTTACTCTAAATTTTCTCATTCGCTCTCTTATGTTTTTTCTATTTAAAACTTTTCTATTTCTTAAAATTTCTCTATAACTTTTCTTTTCGATATTCACTATCTACTACCACTCTTCCCAACCATTACTTTTTCTCTTTTTAATATTCATTATCTAATACCTATCTTCCCTAACACTTGGTTTTTTCTCTCTAGCTGGCATTTTCTATGTAATGCATTTTTCTACCTTCACATTTTGTTCTTTAACATTTCTCCTACATCTCTAACTTTTAAAAAAATAGAACACAATGGTCAACTATCAAACAGGCTAACAAAAATCTATAAACAGTTACTTGATCATATCAAATGAAGCTTAAACACTTATGTTTCTATAACCAAAATAATTAGAAATATGACATCTTAAAAAAGGTTATGCAAAATAATGAAAGAAAAAGATAAAAAGGTTATGCGAAATAATGAAAGAAAAAGATAAAAAGGTTATGTAAACAAAATTACTTTTTAAAAATGAGAATCATGAATAGTAATAGGCCACCATAATCTTTAAATTACTATTTTTGCCCAAATTACTCATGAATATTAGTACCATTAATTTCTCTCTCAACTCGTAAACTTAAATTTAGTTAGTTTTTGTTTTACATTACAAAATTTGGTTTCTAATGAAAGAAAACAAAAAATCGAGAAATAAAAGAACATCATATTTACTTAATATAGATGCCACCTTGCCAAATAAAAAAGGATAATAAACGTGTAGCCATCAAAATATAGGGAAAAAATGAATGATTTAATTGCCAAGATACTTGGGAAATGAAAATAATTGTTGTGCTATACCATGATCATGAATTCTCTGTTTTAAAAGAGGGTAAGAGATATCGAAGGGGGAATAGGCACTTACAAGTTGCAACCTAGCCATTCAAATTTCTTTCAACAGCTAGAACCTGTTATCCTCTTGTTCTGAATAAATGGCAAAATAGGGAATAATCAAAAGTGGAACAATGATGTGCATATGACCACTATTTGAAATACTGAAGGACTAAGAAAACTAATTAGTGTGTGGGGGTCTGTTCAAGGAATCTAGGCAGAAAATTGATGAGGATCCCACCAAAAAAATGTATTTTCTTCCATAAATTTGCTACTTTTCTCAACAATAAATATACAAAGTAGAGAACATCAATTTCGTTAGGAAAAAAATTACAGTAAATCTTAGTTTTAAAAGGAAGAATCTGTAAAACATGGTTATCTTCCAAACAAATTTTCGAAAAAAAAAAGTAATTATTATGAAACAAAACCGTTTTTCAAAAGGAAAAATGTTTTACGGAGTTCATAATGAAGTGAAAACATTGTTGAAATGATAAGAGAGCAAATATACATACACTTGTTGAAATGAAAACATTGTTATCATCGCTTTAGCAAAATAAAGATGCAAATTTTTCAATTGAATGGTCAATCACCCGAGAAAGTAAAACAACTTTCTTTTTTAAAAAAATGAATTGACCTGAAAAAATTGATAAAAAGTTACCCTTCTTTCTCTCCTTTTCATTTCCTCTGCTTTTTTTTTTTTTTTTTTTCCTCAAACAAGAAAAATAAATTTCTAGATAATACCCACACCACAAGAGCCTCCACACAGTAGCCCTATAAGTGCAATGCAACATCACATATGTCAACCCTTCTCTGACGTAATGGGAGAGGGACAAGAGGGAGACAAAGTGGCTTTAATTGGATCTTATCCACAGTCCATTTTTATTATTTATTTATTTATTTATTTTGTTACTAGGTGTATACTAAACATTATACCATGAAATTGGGGCTTAATTTTCATGGCTTCACAGATCTCCAAAAAGTCAAGTTTAAAGTTTATCAAAGTGAAAAGGAAGAGTTTGTAAGATTTCATTACTTAATAATAATTTTATTTCATTATTTCAACTAATAATCATATTAGAAAGATGGTATCATTTATATATTGGGTAAGGTTCAATTATGAAAAGGAAAAAAGGTCATTTTTCATGGCACCTACCTAAGTAGTCGATTCCAACTTAAATTTTTTTTAGTTTTATCAAAGTAAACCATAAACTAACATAACTAGCAGAATTGATATTCTCTTCAAAACTAACTAAATTAGAGAACCAACCTACCACTAATTGAAAAATAATCAGGAAATTACCGGCAAAACAACCGTAATCTAGCTATAGTAATGTATGGGTTAGTCCAACTTGAGCATAGGTAAAACATCTCTAATAATTTGAAAGAATTACAAGTATAAATTTTTTACTCACAAATCTAAGCTACTATAAGAGAACACATCATCTAGTCATAAAAATACCTAAATCCAACAATAATTGATGAGTACGAAGCCCCCAAATAACCCCAAAAGGGTGAGACCAAGCCAAAAAAAATTGTAGATCAAGCATAAACTCCAACGAATAAATAGCAATGCAAATTAGAAAAAATCTACTCTCAAATCTCTATACAACTTAAAAGGCTTTTATTTCACCAACTAAAGTAAAAAATAAAAAAATAATAAAAAGTTAAAAAAGATTATAAGTTTAGTTATGAACTCTATTTAGTTTAATTTCTAGACCTTAAAATATGTTTATTAAACGAATAAATAGCAATGCAAATTAGAAACAAATATACACAAACTTATAATTATATTTTCTTGGTTATTTATTCAGTACTAAAGACAGGATATTTCTCAAAAAAAAAAAAAAAACTCTGTATTACAAACATAATTATGCATTTGTCAAAAAGAAGAAAAAGAAGACAACTATATGAAAACTAATTGCAAAAAAAAAAAAAAAAAAAAAAAAAAAAAAACCGTTTTTAACTCAAATAAGTTGACGTGGTTACTATAATGCAATTGATGACACTAATTTGGGTATGGCTCAGATATATTATTCTCTCAATCAGGATCTCTCACCCGTGTATACAAACCCTTCATTGTCTGGTAAAGGCAAGAATACAGTTTTTTATGCTTTATTATTATTATTTTTTTTTTCTCTGAAAGGTTAAGAATGCAACTACGGGTTCTTAGGCACAAAAACTATATACAAAATTCCAAGCTTTGACATGTGATGAGGTATCTGGAATCTTTAATTATTTTCCATTCTTTTAAAGAGAGAGAGAGTAAAAAATGGAAGCGTTTTTTTCTGGCAAACTTGTGAACTGACACTCTAAAATGTAAAATTTTAATTTGGCTCAAAAACAAAACGCAATTGGGGTGGAAAAAGTTATTATAGAATATTAGAAACTAGAGATAGGTACAAACAAGTAAAGCCAAGGTGATCCATTAGATTCTCCAAAAGAAACACGCACCACCTAAATATTGTACTTTAAACAAAACTCACAGTTCCTCTAAATTTAGCCACCCCCTCCATTGTCTCTCTCTCTCTTTCTCTCTTTCTCAGCTTGAAAGAGAGAGAAAGAGGAATTACGACCACCACATGACCGCCCCATATTTCTCCATGTAAAGGTGGATTTATTGTATATATAACCTCCATTATTTGTATATTGTTTCAAAAGGAGGGCAGCTGTGCTAAGAGCTGGCAATAATGGCTCCTTCAGTCTCCTCTATTTTTGTTCTCTCTCTTTTGCTTATTGGTGTTTTCGTGCAAACGCACGCAAGTAAGCCTTTTCCTAACTTTTTCCATTGAATTTTCTCTTCTCCTTTCCGGGAAATAAAACACTAAGGATTTGTTTGTTTGTTTGTCTTTCTGGGATAACGGTTTCAGAAGGAAGGGAATTCCTAACCTTTTATTCAAGAAATGGTTCTTTTGGTTTTTGTTTTTGACTTCCTGCTTTTGGGTGGACAGAGAACGAGCAATCCGCTACATTTTCTTATGAGGGCTCGAATGGGCCTGAACACTGGGGAAGCATGAGCTCGAAATTTGCAACTTGCTCCAATGGGAAATCACAGTCACCAATAGACATTGTGAAGGATGGCGCCGTGTTTGGCAAGCATCTTCAAAAACTAGTCAGGAGATACAATACTGCTAATGCTACACTTGTCAACAATGGCTTTAACATTGGGGTCTGCCCTTTCAAACCTATAACTTTTTGGCTCTCTTTAGTCTCTCTTGTCCCTATGGCCGGACACATAAATATGACATGCATGTAGACATATTTTCTAACCTTCTTGTTTCTTAAGTTTTGATACTAACTTTTTAAAAGCTAACAGTTTCATATTGGTTTTCTTCAAAAATGAAAAACAAAACAAAACAGAAAGATTAGTTTTGTATAGCTATAATTTTTTAAATGAACATATTTCCCTTTAAAGAAAGAATAAATCAAAAAGTAAAAGCCATATTGACATTTTTTTTTTCCTTATCAAAATCAGGTGGACTTTGGGGAGAAAACAGGTGGAGTAGCTGTCATAGATGATAAAAACTACACCCTCAGACAATTGCATTGGCATTCTCCTTCCGAACACCTCCTCAACGGCGAGCGGTATGTTCACTGCCGTCTCTCTCTTTCCAAAACTCTCTCTAGGCTGGCCCATTATGGGCCCAGCCCATCTAATTATCAGGCTGCCTAGCCTTTTGGTCGTTTCGGAGCTTCTATAACAGAAGAGGAGATCCTTTCTAATACTTTTTCAAAAATTAGTTTCTAAATAGATTAATAAATTATAGATTTATCTACGATAGTTTCTCTTAAATCTTTTAAATTTTTTCTAATTTTACTCTTAAATCTTTTTCAAAAGTTTCAATCAAGGTTTTCCACAAAAAAAAAAAAAACAAAAAAAAAAAAAAAAAAAAAACAAAAAAAAAAAAAAAAAAAAAACAAAAAAAAAAAAAAAAAAAAAACAAAAAAAAAAAAAAAAAAAAAACAAAAAAAAAAAAAAAAAAAAAACAAAAAAAAAAAAAAAAAAAAAACAAAAAAAAAAAAAAAAAAAAAACAAAAAAAAAAAAAAAAAAAAAACAAAAAAAAAAAAAAAAAAAAAACAAAAAAAAAAAAAAAAAAAAAACAAAAAAAAAAAAAAAAAAAAAACAAAAAAAAAAAAAAAAAAAAAACAAAAAAAAAAAAAAAAAAAAAACAAAAAAAAAAAAAAAAAAAAAACAAAAAAAAAAAAAAAAAAAAAACAAAAAAAAAAAAAAAAAAAAAACAAAAAAAAAAAACAAAAAACAAGGAGGTAAGTTACTGAAATTCATTAGCAGAATTGATATATTTGTTAGATTATTGTTTTTTTTTAACATATTTTGGAAATGTCTCGTTAATAATGCATGATACATGAATAGGATCATTTCTTCTCAGTTGGAATGTACAAATGCCATGCTCACATGTTCAACTACGTTAACATAGATGTACTAATTTTTTTTTTTAAAAAAAAGAACAGATTAAAGACAAACTCAATGTACAAAGAAATTAAGATCAAATTGACAAGTACTTACAAGAAGATTGTGTGAGATATGCAGCCTAAAGTTTATAAAAACAGTAATATTTCGAAGTCTGTCTCAAGAATATGAAAGTTGAAACGAAAACAAGATTTCAGAAAATTCTGACTCACTCTCTCTCAAACAGTCTGATTTGTATTTTTAAGCTAAATGAACGTTTTGATTACTAATAATCCATGAAACTACTAATTTCTCGACGTGACGTCTAAACCAGGCAGACTAAGAAACTGATTCAAATGTCATCATAAAAATCAATCTATATCGGCTCAAGTTCACCTGTATATAAAATTTGAGAGTTTTGATTTGAACTTACCTCCGTACTTTCTGATTCGAACAGATTTGCTGCCGAGCTTCATCTAATCCATAAAGCAGACGACGGCGGCCTCTCCGTCATAGCAATCCTCCTCCAAGACGGTGATTCCGATCCCCTACTCGAAAAGGTACATCAATGAATTAGTCAATTTCATCCTCTGACAAAATACATATATAGAAAAGTTTCCTAGAGACATAAATTTACAAATTCACAATCACGGCAACCGTAAATTCGTCCGGCGAAATTGCAGATACAAGACAAATTGCGGGAGTTAACCAAAGAAAAATGCGGCAGCAACGAAGAGGCTCACATTGCACTAGGAGAACTAAACTTAAAGCACTTGAGGAAGAAGACTCGCAAATACTACAGATACATCGGCTCTTTCACAGTTCCTCCCTGCACCGAGAACGTCATATGGACCATTCTCGGCAAGGTAAATCTAATTCAAATCTCCATTTCTCAAACTCCTCACACGGCGGAAGAGAACGTAAATACTTTAGGCCGTACTAGTTAGGGCATAACATGTAAAAATTACCTCGCAGGTGAGGACGATTTCGAAGGAGCAAGTGGAAGCACTAAAGGCGCCATTGGAACCACCGTATAAGAAAAACGCCCGACCGGCGCAGCCGCTCAATGGCCGAAAGATTGAGATCTACGACGAGCTCAGCGAGTACTGAAAACCTTTTCTCTCTCGCGCGCTTTTGCTTTGCCGCTCAATGAACAATCGGTTTAAGCAAATGGAGAACTGTTTGGCTTGCGAAAGAAGTTCCCCATTACCATATAAAAACTTCAAAATGCAAAAATACCATTCTATCCTTTCTACTTGTAAGCTTCCGTGAATTGATTGAATTGTAATTGGTCATTTCAGAGTTTAATTTAGCTATAATATAAATGTCATATTATTTCCTTAATTTAGGAAATTAGTAACGTATCCAAGTTGCGCCTAATTATGAACTGCTCAATTTAATCCAATCCTTGAAGCAATAATAATGGTTTGGGATAGTTGTTGTCCAGTCAAATTTTTTATTTAATGTCTGGACTACAAATATGATATTACAGCTCAGCTAATTCTGCAGGTTATTATTCCTATTTTTTAAATGACGTGGCAGCTGAAGAAAGCATTTTTCCATATTTTATTTTCATTCAAAATATTTAATTAACATTTTTTAAATTCAATAACTGAATTAATAATTTATCCCGTTTTTTATTTGTTTATTTTAAAAATTAGTACTGTAAATTAAAAAAGTTAATTAAAACTGCATCTACGCATATTTTAATAATAATTTTCTCCCTGCATCATCTATTGTCCTTCCTGTCCCTGCCTTGCATGTTTTGTCTAGCTCGATTATTGAAGCATCATATTCATACTGTCAAAATTTTAAAATCATTTTGTTTTTTTTTTTTCTGCAAGCAAAATAAAAATGACTGCTGTAACTAAATTTCAATTTCCGTTTAGTCCTTCAACTATTTATTTTTACTGTCAACTCCTTAAGACTACAAGTTATTTCCTTTAGGTCCCCCTAAATAAAAGCCATTCTTCGAGTATTAACTGAATACAAAATGTACATCTGATCATTTTTCCCCCAAAAAAAATAATAATAATAATAATGAGACAAACTTTTTTTATCTACAAAACGGCACCGTTTAATGCAAATGAAATTGAAAAATAACTGCAAGAACAATAGGCAAAATTACATGTGGAAAACCATATGGCACTTTTTTTAAAAAAAAAAAAAAAAATACTTACCTTGTGAAGCACGGGAGTGAGGTGAGAACGGTTAAACCGAAGTGCCACGTAATTCGTCTACGATACAAACAAAACAAACGGGCCCACAAGAAGCCCACCTAATCCCGCGGGCTCCGCTGACAACCCATGCCACAATGTACCGAGAAGCTCAGAGAAGCAGAGACCGCCGCCCGTCGATTATTCTCCGTCGCCGACGACCCATGAACCGGATCGCCTTCCAGATGCGAACCGCTTAACGCCGCCCAAACCGGGTGGTTCGATCTCGACGCTTCTTCTCGGAAGCGATCCCGCCGTTAGTGCATCGATGCTGAGCATAATCTTATCAGGCGCTTTTGCTGCCGGCGCATCTTCGGCTATCGGAGCGGTTGATTTAACCCCTGGCGGTTTTTTCCAACCTCTGAAAAGATTCAGGAAGGTAGATAAGAAGCCGCGTTTAGCGCCTTTCTGGTCCGATGTTTCCTTCGGCAGCGCCGGTTTGGACGACCGCCGACGATTCTTCCACCGGCGACTCCGATCTCGCTTCGATCTCACTCTCCCCATACACGAAACTTTCGGCGATGCCGGTTCGACGACAGCAGAGTCCGATTTTTCGGAAGATCCTGACTGTTTAGGGAACAACCTCGCGTTTCCAGATTTCGCATTGCGACGAGTCTTCGAATCCACAAAACAAGTCTTGTGAAGCTTCGGAAGGCCGAGAATCGAGGCCTTCGATTTGAAGTTCAATGAAAACCGCTGAGAATTCGAATTAGAAGCCGGATTCACACTAGGATTCAAGTTCGTCGAAGTCGAACTTCCTTTCGTCGAATCTTTCCTCTCGAAAAACGCGTTCTGATTTAACCAATCGAACTCCGCATCCTTCGAGAGCCAAAACGATTCCGGTGGTAAATCTGGCGGAATCTCCGACTTCTCCGTTACCTCTCTTTTCTCATCTCCCTGCCGGTGATCGCCGTCGTCAAAAGATTCCTCGCAGGCGATTTTCCGGTCGTGAGCATTGCCACCGGCACATGCAGAAACCAGAGTTTCCAGATCCACTTGCGGCATAGTAAAACAGAGTGAACTAAACCAAACAATACAGATTCAGAGAAACAGAGAGAAGAATTCTTCCGGCTGATTGGTGCTCGGTGGCGCGTTGCGAAGAATTCTTTTGAAGATTCAACCAAAGAGAGAAATGAAAAGAGATTTTTTCTAATTTTTCTTTGCCTATAAAAAATGGTACGGAAGGCGAAAAGCACAAAACGGCAGTGGATTGATGTGGAGCGCGAATGAATGACTTTATTTTTTGTTTTTCATTTTTAATTTTCCTTTTTCCCTTTAATTATCTTTATAACACTAACTTTTTCCTTAATCTTTTTTCCATTTCTCGGCGTGGCTTATTTAAATGGCTTGGCTCCGTCCCGAACATATCAAAAACTAACAACTTATTTATTATTTTCCATTTTTTAACTTATTTTTTGTCGGCATGTGAATATAAATATAAAATAAGTTAGAAAACAAAATTTGGTCAAATTTTTTAGGTTAAATTATAAAATAAAATCCCTTTCAATTATAGGATTTGTCTAGTTTATACCAAATTTCGAAAAAAATTATGTTTTAACCTTTTAAATTTGAGTTTTGTACTAAAGAACACTTTAAAATTTGTGTTGACTTATGTGTTATTTAAGTGAATAAATCTAAACAAAAAAAAAAAAAAAAAGTTAAAAAGTTATAAAAAAAATATATATATAATTTAGGTAATGGAATTGAAAGGAAGGAGATAACAATCCATATAGTTTCATAATTATATCTATTGGATTTGTTTGTTTTTCATGTATGTGTTCAGATTTGTTCACATTAATTGTCGATAATTATTGAGATGAATAGTGTCAATCGTCATAAATTTATAAGTAATGAACACTGAAACAAAACAATAAGAACGTATACTCAAAATAGATAATCATTGTGAAGGTATCTAATCTTAATATGGTATCATATAGAACATAAACCAATTTGAGCATAAGTCAATAGATTAAAACAATAAATATCCAAGCTAATTGATGGAACATTAACCTGGCAGTTATTTATTTATAGCTAAAGTTCAAAGTTTTTTTAAAAATTTAAAGATAACAAATTTTAATATATGTAAATATATTTGGTTAAAGATATTTTGATTTTTTAAGTTTAATAGTGTTATTGATACTATTGAGTTAAAATTTCAGTAAATACAATATAAAAAAATAAATAAAAGTTTTGTGATTTAATTTTCACAAATTATTATTAAATTCATAATTTTCAAAATTTAGAATTTGAATTAACAAATAAAAATATGTATGGGAAGAACAAATGAGTTTGAAGTTTTTTCCATTTAATTTATACGCTTTAATATAAACAAAATAATTTAGAAAAATAAATAAATAAACAGAAGAAGCAGATAGAATATAGTATAAACAATGAGAGCAGCTGGCGCCTAATAAAGAGAGTACAAGGACCTTAACTATAAGACAATTAAAGATTATAATTATGAAATAATTATTGACGTTTTTTTTAAATCGATATTTATTTTATTTTCAATACCTACTTTAAATAAAAGCATTTGCTAAGCTGTATAATTTAATAATCCGTCACTCCGCTGCCACGTCGCTTTCTATTTTACAAAAAATATTAAAAAAAAAACATTTTTTTAAGAAGCAAAAATGATAAAACTTGGTACTCACGATTTGCAGTTGTATAATTGTATTAGAAATATCATAATTTTAAAAGATGTTTTAAATTAACACTTTATTTCTTCGTCTCCTTTTCATTTTCGGAAATAACTTAGTTGCTTTTATTTTATTTTTTTATTTTTTTTTTATAATTTAAGTCTAAAGTTATTCCTATGATTTGTTATTTGGTTGGATCCCTTCAATGTATCTAAACATATTATTTATTTTTGTATAATGAAAAAAATATTTGAGAATAATATTTGACAAGAAAATCAATTAATTAATACATTTTAAAATATTATTATTCGACAGACTCAATAAATAAGTTATAAGTTGTGACAAATTTAATAATACATACTTATATTTATGTGTGTAAATTTAAATTTTTATCAACATTATTTTAAAAAGTTGTCGATAGCATCATTTGTTGAATCGTATTTTTTACATATAAATCTGTAATTTTATTCTGAAATAGTCAATGTAGTATTACTTCTCTTAATAATATTTTCTCACTTTACATAATGTAAAAATAATACAATTATTAGTATGTAGCTTTTAAATAATATTATTTAAAAAAAATTAGTATCGTATTAAATTTATTATTGTCGTATTCGATATTTTAAAATATAATTTGCTTTCGAATGGTATAATCTTATTAGTAAATACACAAATGAAAATTTGAAAACCAATGTAAAAAAGTAATACAAAATAATAGTTTTATAATTTTTACCGTGGGTGAAGATGGAAATACATCAATTCTTTGCGACTCCCAAGATCGCAGTGTTGTACTCTGAAATAAATTATATGATTCCATTATGCATGAAAGTGCGTGAACTTATTGTCCTGTAAGTTCTGTAGCCAATCGCAAATTATATTTTATTTATTCTTAATATATATATATATATATATATTACTAAATTTGATATTTATTAATTTTATTAAAATATCAACAATATAGTTTATTGACCATATATTATACCATTATAGTGAAGTTCTCAAACTCCTATAAAAACCATAAAAGAACACAAATATATATATATATATAGGTCAAATTATAAAGTTGTATCATAAAGTATTTTAAGAAGTACACGAATTTTAAAAATATTTAATGATGTCATTATTATGACTTTTTACTATATATATATTTATTTAGATGTTATTAATATTTAAAAAGTTAATAAGCATAGAGTATATTTCTATCTTTAAGAGATTCAGAAGTTCAAGAATTAGCAAAAATAAATAATAATACTAAAAAAACAAGTTAAAAATATATAATTTATTATTTTATAATATTGTTTGTCCGTGCTTCTTGAAGATCAATTCTTCCTTAATGACGTATTAGCTAGAGCGAAGATGGAGATAAAGAATAAGAATTAAAGCTAGATTAGAAATGAGTTATTTCCAACTACAAGATCACTCCAATGCTTTGGGTATTACAATTCCTCTAACAACCATTGTAGCAAAGTCGTTTCATACAGTACTTGTATGAGACGAAAAATAATAGTTTATCTCAAAATTATTTAATGACGTGGCAACTAATAAGTGGAGTGTAAATGAAGGAGGTCCTACCGAATCAATGATCAAAGATCTTGTCTAATCCACACTATTTTATTATCGAGTGCACTGAATTTAAACCTCTACCATAGAGTAGATTGGGACATTAATTAAGACAGAAAAAACAAAACCCAATCAATTTATTGTACCAATTAAGTTAAACCTACCATGTGGTTCCCCAAATAGCTTAACTTTAAATTTTGAATCATTTTTTTCATTTAATATTTCTCGAGATTTCATAAAAGGGAGGTGTGATAGACATGTGATACCACAATAATTCTTCTGAGTTGTTATTGGATAGTTTTTATTCTTATTCTAAAAAATATATATGAATTTTTTTTTTCAACCACAGTATTGAATTATGATTAAAAAATTTATTATATTTAAGTTAATTAGCTAAAACTCATTTTAATTTGCAGGTAAACTAAAAATAGTTGGATTTATATGTAATATGTATTATCCAATTTATATATTATGGAATAAAATAAAATGGTATAAACATAAAATAACTTGGATTTTAAGTTATAAAGCATATTGAAAATTAAAATAAAACTGGTTTTTATAATTCTTTATATCAGTATTTACTTCTCTTTTTTTTTAATTGTGTGAATATAATAGTTTCATGGAGAGACGAGGGGGGTCGGATATCAGTATTTAATGCAGTTGACTATAAAATAATCTTTTTAATAAGTTCATAAATGAGCCAATAAGATTCCATCACGTGGCATCTAATAAGTAGCCCTTGTCCCATGCAAAAACACCTACCCTTTTGTTTTAACCTAATTTACCCAAACTTGAGTTAAAAGTACTTTAAATTACGAATTTAATTTATAGATTTTTTTTTTTTGTTCATATTTAATAGGTGAAATTTAAAAATAAAATAAATCTACTGCATCCATTATATTTAATACCTCTCTATTCTTTTTATATTCTACACTTCCATCTCATTAAATTTTAAGCTAAATAGATTATAAATTTTTAATTATGAATTTATGTTCGTAAGTTTAAATAAAATAAGTACAAAATTAAAAGTTTAAATATTTGTTAAAAATGTAAGAAATTATTTGGCAACTTAAACTTGGAAACATAGGCGGTTTAAACGTTAGCAATGGTTAAGCACTTAAAATAATCCTATCTTTGACCGATATATTTATCTTCTATAATCTATAATATGCATACATCGACCTCTTTTTATTAAGAAAGATGGACCTCAGACACCCAAATAAAAGAAGGATATATAAATGAACCGAAACTATATTCAAATGAGAGCGATTTTAAGGAAATGAGACTAAAAATAGCTTAAAATAATTTAAAGATACGACCTCTACCAACAAGGTATATATTTTTTTTCCGTAACTCATTCATATAAATTTTGAACACTAGGAATTTTCTAGTAAAAGCCATGAATTTCAGGTACATTTTGTTAGGTCATTTTCAAATATATTTTTCAACCTAATTGAGGTATAAAACTGACATTTCAATATTAAATATGTCACATTTTTTTCATTGTTGTATCATTTTTAGTTAATGCACCTTATATTTATTTATTATTACATTTAAAAAAAATCAATATTGGCAAATAACATTTACTATTATCAATGTTTTATATGGGTGAGCTTAATTAGCGTACTTCCAAATGAATAGTCAAAATAAATACTCTAATTTAATTGGACCAAGTGTCTTATTTTATATGGTGACTTTTTGTATTAAAATGGTATTTAATTTCAATATCTTTATCACATATATTTATTTCTTATTTGTCTATAGCGTGTAATGATTTTGAATGGAAGGATTTTGTACCATAGATTTGCTACGATATGAACTGCACATGAAAATAAACTTTTTAAAATTTAATAATAAACTAAATTTATAATTTAATTTTTAAAAAATAGACATAATTTTAGTACAGTCTTAAATTTTTAAATCCATTCATAACTATGTTATATAAAATTGAACATATTAATAAAAACGTTTAAATTATTATTTTAATCTACATGATATAATTTTACTTTTATAAAATGACGATCATTTTTTTTTAATTCAATTATTACTAGACTAATTTCAATGTGGTACGTCATTAATATCACATCTAAATAAAATTTATAATCTAACAAAATTATTCATGAATAGTTAAAAAAATATTTAAAAATATTAAATCAAACAACAAAAACCAAATTCAAACTTTTAAACCTATAAAATATACTAAAAACGAAAGAAAAACATGATTAAATAATTAGAGGGAGAAAATATAAACTGCAAAAGTAGAAAAAAATGGGGATTAAAATCATATAATAAAAAAAATGTGGGGGCAAACTTCGAAGAGAGGAGAGAATTTCCCCAGAACCAATATAAAGTCACATTCGAAATTTCCGACCGTTGGGGCCCGTTTGGTCATTTTAGTAACGGTTACCATTAAAATTTTTAAAAGAAATAAAAAATAAATAACTGAAAAACTCCCACGCGAACACGAACTCTTCTCCTCTGCAACTTAAAAAGCTCCGGAAAATCGAAGAAGAAGAAGAAGAAGAAGAAGAAGATCTAATGGGCTGTGTATCTTCAAAACTCTACAGGAAGGACCTCCAGAGGGACATTATCGTCAACAATGGCGGCGAGTATCTCAACCATGTCGTTTCTCTCACATCCAGCACTTACGGCGTTCTCAATCTCAACGCCGATCTGGATACGAAGGAGTTAGTTTCAGAGCCGACGAAGAAGAAGTCGCCCTCTCGCGAAAAACCAGAAGTGATTAACGCTTGGGAGCTAATGGACGGCTTGGAAGAAGGAATTCCGATTGCAAATCGGGGCAAAAACAGCCCTAAGCCAGGAGTTTTTCTTCGCAGATTGACCGATTTGGATCGAAGAAGTCCGTTGAAGTTCTTTAATCAAATCGGCACTCCAAAGAAGGTGATGAGATTCGGTGGGAAGGAGAATCGCGACCGAGTAAATGGCGTCGGGCGATTGGATTACAGTCCGAAAGAGATTCTAAAAGTGAACAATTCGTCAAGAATATCCCCCAAATCGGTCCTGAAATTGAGTGTTCCTGTGAAGAATACGCCGATTTCGGTGAGAAGGCAGAGTTTCGGAAGCGATTCCGGACTTTTATCCGCTCGAAGAAGGAGTTTGAGTCCAATGTTCGATCCAGAGCTCGTAGCGTCATACGAGAAACAATTAACCGAAGAAGGAGAACAGATCAAGAGAATAGTTTCAGAGACGCCGAAATCTAGGGCGGCGAGACATTTTCAAGAATCGGAAACCGCCTTAAAACAGTTCGAGGAACGGTGCCCGCCCGGCGGCGAAACCGCCGTTGTGATCTACACAACAACGCTTCGAGGAATCAGAAAAACATTCGAAGACTGTAACAAGGTTCGGTCGGTGGTTGAATCGTACGGCATTCAGTTGCTGGAGCGAGACGTATCGATGGATTCTGGTTTCAAAGAGGAGTTGAGGGCGTTAATGGGGAGCAAGGATGTGAAAGTTCCAGCGGTTTTTGTGAAGGGTAGACTAATCGGAGGGGTGGAGGAGGTTGTGAAATTGGAGGAGGAAGGCAAATTGGGGCTTCTGTTTGAGGGGATTCCGACGGCGACCGGCGGCAGTTGTGAAGGATGCGGCGGCGTGAGATTTGTAATGTGTGTGGACTGCAATGGAAGCTGTAAGGTTTTGGATCAGATGAAGAAGAAGAAGACCAAATGTGGTGAGTGTAATGAGAATGGGTTGATTCAGTGTCCCATTTGTTCTTGAAATTTCAATTTGGGGCCTTTTTTTTTTCGGGGTTTCCCTTTCTATTTTATATTTAATTTAATATTAGTTTTGGAAATGGGTTTTGAAGTTAATTTTAGGACCCTTGTTGTGTTACGTTTGTGGGATTGATTGTTTGTATTAATTGTTGATGTGTATTATTAGTTAAACCAATTCATCCTAACACGATGATGATTTATTAAGATCAAATTAATTTTTTTTTTAAGATCAATTACAATTGTGATAATTTCAATTTTGACCTAATAATTTTTTAATTTAAACTATTAGAGAGATAAGTAATTGAGTTTATTTGTGTTACATTGAGATTCTTTGAATAGATCCATTTGCAAACAATTAGATGCTGACAAAATTATCCAAGATTGGCTTTCTTTATTTCTATTCAACAACCTACAAATAGTTCCTTGATTTTGACTAAGAGATTGTGGAACCCTTGTCTTGGAATAAATAGAAAAAAATGGATTGATATTGGTGCTTACTTCAACAAAGGAAGCGCGGGTTTCTTCGATAGAAGAGCTTTTTTTGTCTCGGTCCCAATTCAACAATAAACAAGTCCGAACTAATTGAATGCTTGTGCCAGAAATTCCCCGAATTGGTTTTCCATTTCCATAAAGGATATAATTGATAACTCTAAGCTCCAGATTATCCCTTTCTTGCAATAGATCCTGTGGGAAAAGTGTTACTAAATTTATACCGTCAACTAGTTCATATATGATTACAGGTCGAACAAAAACAAAATACTTTTTCTTGGTAGGTGTGATCCACTGGACATAAATCCAATTTTTCAATTTTTTTGATTTCTTAGAATTTTTTTTTACTTTTTCAGGTGGTATCAAGATGCCATTGTGTCGGGATATCTTATCCATCTCTCCAGGAAAATGTATATCTCCAGAAAATATTTTGAGTTCAATCCTTTGTTTTTTTTTCTCCGCTCGGACCAATCCGCGAGTAAAGGAGGGGTATATGAATGAACTCAGACTATATTCGAATAAGAGCGATCTTGAAGATAAGAGAGCTAAGCTTAACACTTGGATAAGTGATAGGTACATGAATGTATGTACCTAGACCACATTTAAATACTAGGGATCCCATACCATTAAGAGACACATTTCTTTTTTATGACTCAATTATAGTAATTATACATTGAGCAATTTTATGTTCACTAAACTCTTAAGAATTTTTCTAGAATGCATATGAATGAAGATGAAACATGCAGTATAAACTTTTATTTTTTCCTAGTAGTTTCATTTTATTTGATAAATATATTTTTAAAATTAATTGCATTGTATGTGCATAATGTTTTTTTTTAAAAAAAAAATAATTTACCCTCACTATAAAGATCGCAAAAGGTTATACATCATTCATTTTAGAAAATGAGTAATATTCCATTTACACCTAAGATATTAAAAGAAACTTCTTTTCCAATCAAATTGAGATGTTAATTATTAAGTTTTAAAATTTTAATTCAAAGGAAAACTTAATAAACCACTAATTTCTTAATTTCATTGAAACACAAAACAATGGTTACTAGTAAATATCAAATCACTAAAATTGAAAAACGAATTTGATTATAATTTTGTCAGAACATTTTGAGCTTCACCTAAAACATTATAGTTTGTATCAGTTCGAGATCACTCATCAAAATTATAACCAAACATGATTAACATGTCAACAAAATTCTACCCAGATCAAACCCTATAATAAACTTAAAAAAACTACAAACAAAATCGATTAAAATAGATTTTTTATGAATATTTTGAAGCAATGTTCATTCTAGATATTCTAACCCAAACATACATGTGCATACTCAAATTTTATATATCCATTACCTGAGAAGTTCAATACGGTATGAACGATAAATCTAGGGCGCTTCAGAAGAACGTGAAGAAAACATGGGCGATTTGTGTGTCCCAGGAGGGGATGGTAGGACTTGAACTTTCTGGCCAAAGAATGTCTGGCTTGAATATCAGACAAACAGGGGTTTGAATTCCCCGTTAGCAAGCTGACAAAGTTGATTGAATGTAGATGTATCTGCAAACAGGGATACACAGAATTTAGAATGCAACCTTTTCTGATAAAAGTTGATAAAAATTCAACACATCCAATCTCAAAGAATGTTGAAAGTATGATCCAAAGAGGAATCTATAAGTAACTTATCCTGACAATTATTGGCCGATCTCTCTACGGATCCTCATCCAAGGAGAGGAATGTTTAAAACATCGTGGTGAAACAAACCGTTAAGAATACATGAGCTAACTTGGATTGAATTAACTTCAACTTGATACAGAATTAATGTCAGATATCAAATGACTAATTCGCAGCTTAGATTTCACTATTGAGATAAACTTTAATGGTATAATCCGGATTCCAAACTTATGATCTAGCCAGGTTATGCTTCAGAAATCTAAAATGCCAGATTTGGCTAGGCTCCTTGGGAAAATATCAATTCAAAACTAAATACTGCTCAAAATCAATGATTAGTGGAAACACAATTAAATGATCATCTTCAGCCAATTCAATGAACATAAATTAACTTCAGACATGTATAGAGCATTAGTACTATACAACTTCCAATGTCATTCTAGAATAAGGAGAGCTGAAGAAGAGCGCATACCAAATGAGTCGCCAAAATTGGTCCATACATCAGCTCGTATGGATTTGTCGGTATCAGCAATTCCAATGACCTCGACAAACTTCGAAAGGGAAAATGGTGGGGATCCTTTCACAGTAATCTGGTTGTCATCTGTTGATTTACCGTATATGACTCCGTTGCCTTCTGACTGTACCTGAATCACTGCCCGAACTCTTCTTCCAACATACATGCGTAAAAGCTCAGCATTCACAAAAACTGAAGGGTTTGATGTATCCATCTATAGAAAACACCAGGAAGGTTGTCTTTCAGAGAGGGAAAACATTTAATAAAAAGAAAACTAACTTGTTTCACCATGTGAGCAATGCTTGAAACTGTTTGGCATGAACACCAAATCAATCAAAAAAAATGCTGGCGTTTAAAAAATATGGTAGCAGACAGCATTTCACAAATACCTTCTTCCTTCTAAAAATCCAATGGGAGAAGATCCAAACAATTACTTGACATTTATACTCAAAACTGTTTGCTACGTATTACAAATGTTAATCAGCTATCAATGAAAATCCATTTGTTAGCATTTGGTCGCATATGCACTCGACTATTCCACAAGACAAGCACATAATACTACTATACTTGGTTTGTGTCAAGATAACTCGTAAAAAGTTAAATCACGTGGCTACTATGGTTTGATCCATTTCCTTAAAACTCTTTACTGCTAGGGCAACCATGCATTTTAAAGCAAAATTTATTGTAACAGTAAGAATATGCATGATAGTCACTGTGGGCGGATTATTTTGAATCAGTAGCCCTTCTCTTAGCTTCGCGACTGTCCGATTCTAATTCTCCATTTTCTTAAAGGACCAAATCAGGAAGCCACACCATAATCAACGAATCGAATTCGACCCTGCCGACTCAAACTGGAAAACATCTAGTCATAATTTGACGCCAAACAAACTAATCCATATTCCATAGGTTACACACACGACGAGACAAGTAAAAGAGTCGGAAGAATTTTATTGAGCAATTCAATCTAACGAACTGAACCAACAAAGGGAAGAATCTTTCAAAACACTCGATCGGAGAATCTAAAACACTGAGCTTCATTACCTGATTCAGAAACTGGGTAGTTCGTCGGAAATGGAAATCGAACCGCAAGAGACGGAGGAAAAAGAGCGCGGGTTTTCGAGAGCGGCAAAATTGAAATTTTCGACTTCGTATGTAATGATAAAAGCGGTATTTATAGAGAGACCAAACGTAGATGTGATCACACTTTGTTAATTGAGATTGTCTTCTTCATCCGACGGTCTACACGCGCTCACAAGAGCAATCAACGAACAGAAACATTTTCAGATTTTTATATACATTTCTTAAATGGGGGTAAATAAATACGACAATAAAGCCTCTTTTTAAAAAGATTATAATTTATGAATATTGGCTAAATTATTAAATATTGTCCAAAGCTTGAATTTTTTAAAAAATATTTTAAATTTTTTAATGTTAAAACATATGGGGTGAATTAATAAAAATTGATATATAAATTTTCACCTAATATCCAATTTTGTTTCTAAAATTTTAAAATTAATGCCTTTGAAACTACATTTTTTTTAAAAAAAAAATTGTTGGACATTTTTGACAAAATCTTCTTTAATGTTGTATGTTTTTAACCGTATAACGTTGTTTCTAGAGCCTATAGTGAGCTACAGATAGAGTTCGATATTGTATCGTGTCGTTTTCAAGTCATAAACTAACGATCACAGCATGTCATTTTTTCGCTCATCCCTTGCCTCCAATTATCCAAAACGTTTCCAACATACTTAAAAAAATATTTTTAAATAAAAAAAAAATATTTTTTTGCATTTAGAAAGTCATTATAAATATACCAAGAACATAATGTACAGACGTACTGACAGATAAGTATAAGAACTTGGCAACTCAAGCTATGGGGAACTGGAAATGAGTTATGAACTCACTAACCTGAACGAAGCGGAAGTTTAAGAACTTGAATAAGTTAAGTTGAACTGAAGGAAACAATGAATGAAGTCGCAGATAACAGAAGGGTCACCAATGGCATTGTCTCCTCTCCTCCATTATGCCTTTTCAACCTACTACATATGCATATTTCACCATAGATCGATTCCTGTAATTCACATGGCCGCAGAAGAGAAACTGATTCGTGCATCTCCGCGTCGATACGATGATGCTCAAATCACCAACCCAGTTTTTATCAATGAGTTATAGTTACTGCTAGAAAGAGCAGAGCGAGGTAGCTCCTGCAGCTTCCCGCCATCTAAGATGAACACTCGTTTCGCCATTACAACTGTTTCCAATCGATGAGCGATTACCAGCACCTACGGATTTATACACACTTGGTATAAATATGGAATGCAATGCAACCAAATAAAAATATAAACCAGTCTTTCTAGGACAAACTCTTGTTCTTCTTTTTTTTTTTTTTTCAATAGATGATGAAATTTTCATCCACACAGTCAATTCCAATAGACTAGAATATACATCCACACAAGAAAGTTGAGTGCATATCACAGAAAACTTAATTTTGAAACACAATTCAACATATTAAGCACGAATTGTTGAACCCAAAAAGAATAAGCTAAGCTTCTTATCTTACAGTATGATTTTCCATCAGGCGCTCCAAAGCTTGCCTGACCAGTAACTCGGACGTGCTATCCAATGCAGACGTGGCCTCGTCCAAAATCAAAATGGATGAATTTTGATAGAGTGCCCTTGCAATGGCTAGTCTGCCATATGGAAGGACATGTAAGTTTAACTATTAAGAGAACTAGATGGAGGTATCCTATAAAAATTGAGTTAATTTGAAACTTTGCCTTTGCTTCTGTCCTCCACTCAACGTTAACCCCCTGGGTCCAATATATGTACTATATCCTTTCGGCAACCTTCTGATAAACTCATCTGCATTTGCGATTTGCGCCACTTCCTCTACCCTCTCCATGTTGATTTCCTTTGTCAGATCATAATATCCTATGTTTTCAGCTACAGTTCCTGAGAAAAGGATCTGAGAACAAAAACCAAATGTTCATATATTTCATCAAGACAATCTTGGACAATTCCACTATGTATTTCTTTCTTAGCAGCCAATGATTACTTGAATGCAGAGAAAGATAGTTAAGTGACCAATGAACTCGTTCCGAAGGGAAGTCAATTACCAGCTGGAAACTTATGAGAGAAGAAAAATAACAAAAGCTCTGAGCAACTACCAAGGAACAAGGACTATGCATCAACGAAATACAGTGTACTTTTGGTTAGCATCACAACAAAATGTATGAACAAGTAATCGACAACCACTCACCATGTCTTGAGAAACTAGACCAACATTTCTCCGTAAACTTTTAAGTCGAACCGTCCGAATATTGTGGTTATCAAGAAGTATATCACCTATTCAGAGAAAGAACAATATATATATATATATATATATCATGGAAATGTTCAAGAATGTGTGTTAAACAAAAGGAAACCTTGAAAAATCCTTTGAAAAAGGGATCTGAGAAGTCAGAACTAATAACTTGAATGTAAGTAGCTTACCAGATAATGGGTCATAAAGGCGAAGAAGCAATTTAACTAGTGTTGTCTTTCCCCCTCCAGAAGGTCCCATGAAAGCAACTGTTTCTCCAGCTTTGATGTGGAGGTTTAATCCATCCAACACAAGAGGCATATTGCTCCCATAGGCGAATGAGACATTACAAAATTTTACCTCCCCCTTCAAACTGTTTAAATCGACCGCAACACGTGTCTCAGTCACCTATAATCAAAGATCAAAATACTCCATCCATTAATTTAATTTGTAGCATCTCATCAAGTAGAAGACATCTTTATGAAATAGGACAACATTACACCATAGAAATGATAAAAGACGCTGATATCCATTTCAATAGACAATATTTGAAACAAATATTTCAACAAACAATACCACAATGAATGGTATGAAGATGACAATTGAAGATTATATTTAGGAGGTCAAGAAATCTAAGTGTAAATGCATCAGAAACTCATTAGAGGGAAAAAAAAAAAATTAATCTATATGGATGGTAGTCTCGACGACATTCATAAAATTTTCTTGCCTTCAATTGAAGCTCATAAAGCGATTGTTTATCCAATATATTATTTGAATTGACAAACTAAAAGTAATTCTAAACATAAATTTGACATCAAATAGAAATTTACCGTAGGGTTGAACTCAATCAACTCAAACAAGCGTTCGATAGCGGGTTCACCTTCCTTCAACTCATTGTATGCCTTTCCAATTTTCTGTATGATTGTTATTCAAAGAAGATCAAACTTAAAACTTATGCAAAAATAAATCTGAACCAAGAAAAGAAGGAAAAAAGAAAAAGGAAAATCAAACCCTGGACTCAAAAAGACATACAGAAGCTCTTGTCATAACATAGTATCACCTGAACTGGTTCAATCAGAAAACCCAATGACGTGACAAATGAAATCATGCTACCACTACTAAATGAACCTCTTGAAACCACCAGAAAACCAACACAAAGCATTGATAATGACATGAAATATAGAGCTTGTACAACATGAGGTGCAAATGCCTTCATCTTCTTCTTCTTTAGACGTGCATACAGGTCGGTGCGAGTAAGCCTCTGAAACCTAATATTTTCGCAAAACTCTCCGCTGTTTGTTTTCACAAAAAGAAATGCTGGAAGAACCTATTACATAATCACAGAGATATATAATAAAACTCGATCATTAGGACTCGAGAAGTGAATTCACAAACATGATTTAGATTCGAGAAGCGAACACAAAAACATGTTTTAGATTTTCACCTCGGAAAATACAATTAGGACTTAGAAGCAAATTCATAACATGATTTAGTGATTAAGATGTACCTCATTTAGATAAGATGAAAGATTAGCAATGCTCAGACTCGCCATTTTAGATATTCGTCGTTGTCTCTCACCGAGATAGGCAATGACAAGAGCTACGCATGGAATAACCTAATTTCAGGTAAAGACAATCAGAGTCGCCATATGATTCCCACGAGAAAACACTGTAAAGAAACATTCAAAACAGGGTAATCTGAAAACATTGTAAAGAAACTTTCCAGCTCTTACCATAGCTGAAATCAAGGATAGGACAGGGCTAATAGCAAACATTTGGGTCGCCATTGCTGACAACTGCAACATACTGGGCACTACAGTCTGTAATAAATAAAATCTAAAAGGTTAAGAGCCAAATCATTAAATTTCCATTTCTGAGACTTTCAATTTATATCAGTTCATTGAAGTAAAATACTGATACTACACTCGATTCCACTCACATTCAGGAGAGAATACACGGTATCCGCCACATCCGAGGCCTCCGCGGTGATCCTGTAAGCGATATCGCCAGCAGAAACGCCATTCACACCTTCAAAGAAATCCAAGTCCATCGCCAGAACTCTCTCGAAAACACGAACGCGGATTTCATAAATGGCATTCAACGCCGCATCCCAAATGAACGCTTCTTGGCAGTAACTCGCAGCGAAACGAGCGAACACCAAGATCCCCAAAACCAGACCCTCACCCCACAAATTAGTAGCATCGATTTTGTCGATAATCGAAGAAAATTTCCCGATCTTAGGCACGAGTAGGGATAGAGAGAAAACCGAGACAATACTACAGAGCCAACCACCAAGGATATGCTTACGCTGAGAGAGAATATACGGAATTAAAGATTTGAACGTCTGAAAACTGCGAAGAAGAGGCCGATTCGATTGAGATTCAGAATTTTCGATGGTGGGGTTAGAGGAATTGGTGGAATTGACGGATTCGAATGCTAACGGCTTCGTTCGGATATGAAAATTTGTGATTTTGGGATCGAATCGGGAGAAATGAAGAGAAATTGGTATGGGATTGAAAAGGAGAATCTGGTTTCTTGAAAGGAGGGAAGATTGAAGCGCGATGCACATTGTTCCGTTGGTTTATCAGAAAGCGCGCGAAGAAAGTGATGGGTTATACATTTTCTGAAATGGTTTTGACATGACAAGAACCAAGAACCAAGAACTAAAATAGGTAAAAATCATTAAATCCTAATAATATTTATTCTAAAAAAAAGTTTGTATTTTATAAAAATTTCAAAAATATTTTTGAATGGTTAAAAAATCTGGAAAAAAAAAATCTTATGGCTAATACTATATTAAAAAAATTCTTTAAATAATATGACAAAAATCATCTAATAGAGTATTTTTAAACATTAGTTTAACTCTTTTT